ATAAATAAATAAATAAATAAATAAATAAATAAATAAAATAAACAAGATATACCTAGGGAAACTTAGAAAAAGTTGAAAAGCCAAGTAAGTAAAAATAAAGACCACTCACAAGCATAGTTCTAATAGATAATCCCAGCTTTCAGGGTATACTCTTTTGGAATTTTTCCTGTAGTCATATTTGCATAACAAATTGCATTAATTTGTTTAATCTTCATAAAAAAAGCCTTCTGAGTGAGCATAGATGAAGCAAAATACTCCAAACAATGTAAGAAATGTTATAGGCAACCAGGCGTGGTGGCACACACCTCTAATCCCAGCACTTGGGAGGCAGAGTTAGATGGATCTCTGTGAGTTCAAGGCTAGCCTAGTCTACATGGTGAGTTCCAGGCCACTACAGGGAGACCAGGGACTACAGGGAGACCCTGTCTCAAAAAGAACCCCCCTCCAAAAAAGAAAAAGAAATGTTATAGGCAAATTATAAGTAAAAACATAGAGTTAATAGACCATTTTCAGTATATGTATATATTCCTTTTTCTTTTTGAGACTGTCTCTCATCTGTAGGCCCAGATGGTCTGGAACTGGCTATGTAGACCAGGCTGGCCTTGATCTCAGAGATTTACCTGCCTCTGTGCTACCACACCCAGCTAGTAGGTATAATTTAAGTGCTTATTTTTTTGTTACATTATTTATTTTTGTGTATATTATCTGTGGAGATGCACGTGTGCCAAGGTATGTGTGTGTGTGTGTTTGTGTGTGTGTGTGTGTGTGTGTGTGTGTAGATCAGAGGACAGCTTTCTGAACTGAGTTCTCTCCTTCTAACATGTGAGCCCCAGGGACTGAAAAATTTAAAGAATTGCTGTATATAGATTCAGTCATACAATCTTTGAGAAGTCATGGTTGATATGTTTAGACAGATATGGTCTTATATTTCCTTTAGAAATGCTTCAAAGTATTTTAAGTAGGGACTGGAGAAATGGCTCAGCAGTAAAGAGCACTGGCTGCCCTTACAGATGGTTCAGTTCCTAACACCCACATAGTGGTTAACAACCATCCATAAATCTAGTTCCAGGAGATCCAGTGTTCTCTTTGGACCTCTGTGGGCTTTGCATGGGTGCACTCATACACATTAAATATAAATAAAAATTTAAAACAATTTTTTAAGGTATTAAGCAACTTGCCTTGACTTTTTGAAATTTTATTTTATGCAAATATTTTGCCTGCATATATTTAAGTGAACTAACTATGCTTGTGCAGTGCACTCATAGGTCAGAGGAGAGTGTCGGATCCCCTGGAACTGGAGTTAAGGACAAGTGTTATCAGACGTGAGGGTACAGAGAACAGAACCTGGGTCCTCTTGAAGAGCAACCAGTGCTCTTAACTGCTGAACCATCTCTCCAGCCCCTATTTTTATCTTTATTTTTGAGACAGCGTCTCCCTCTGTGCCCTGGCTGTCCTGGAGCACCCTATGTAGAACATGCTGGCCTTGAACTCACAGAGATCCACTTGCCTTTATCTCCTGAAGTGCTGGGATTAACAGTGTGTGCCACCACTCCCCGCCCCCAACTCATGCTTAACTACTGCATTAATAATCTTCAGAAGACTCTAAGGTCAGCTGAACCCTCTAGGAAAGCAACATATAAATAATATTGCATTCCTGGAGTTAGATAAATCTCATTTGAAACCCCAGTTTTACTTAATAGCTCTAAGGGGTTTTGCTTAACCTCCACAAACCTCAGTTTTTTCATCAACAAAATAAAGATCTCATTAGCACTACTTTATTAACTTAAAAGGATTAATGAAGTAACCCAATCATAATGCCCAACACAGTAAGAGCTCAATAAATAGTGTCTGTAACACGCCAGGTGTGGTGGTGTAAGCCCTTAATCCCAGCATTTGGGAAGCAGAGGCAGGTGGATCTCTGTGAGACTGAGGTCAACCTGGTCTACATAGCAAGTT